GCTCTGCGGGGGAGGAGGGAGCGGGGAGGGGGAGGGACTCTGGCTGCTAGAGGCCCCAGTGGCTGCGAGCGGCTTTCAATCAGGCCCCGCCATCCAATCAGCCGAGCCGCACTCTGCATGAGGGGAAGGGGGAAATCCCGGACATTTCTAGAAATCCTCCCCCCCACCCCCCCCGGACAGCCATTTAACGCTGAAAAAGCCGGACATGTCCGGGGAAACCCGGACGGATGGTAACTCTACATTAACGTCAAATAGTGTTCATATGTTCTCCCTACATTCTGGAGCCTGAATAGGTTGTTTATCTTTTTCTTGTGATCTTTAAGTACTTAACTGTAATAAAGTGCATGTAAATTTTCCATACTAAATGTGTACCATTCCACCAACCTTTTATTCCTCTAAGAAACTTCTTCTAATGCTGAAATAGGATGTGATGCCCTCCATATGTTTTCTGTGGGCATGGAAAATAAGGTGCAATGAAAATGGATTACTGTGATCCAAATCACACTAGCACATGGGATATCAAATGAAAAAAATTAGTTGCTCTTAACAAAACTATTGTAGGATCTTACATTCTTCTTACAACCGCTGATAGATTGCAAAGGTACAGTAAGCAGGACTTCATAGCTTCATCACTGGTATAGCAGTGGATGTTATTCTCAACTGTTGTTCACTGCTAATAATGTCACTTTTACTCACTTTTCATCACTCGTGAATGAGACAGCATGATTTTATTCTTTGACCTTGATTTGTGAAACATCACGTACTGCCCATGTGATGTGATATTTAGCATGAGGAAGCTGAAGGGAAGCTTCATGAGGAAGCTTACCATGGGAAGGAGTTACTAGGAGCAGTCTTGTTAATTTACAGTACAGTATTCTATTTTTTAGTTTACCCAGAACCTATCCTGGCCTCTTGGCACTAAACAGACTTTTGATGAAAGCCCACACACAGTAGTGCAAGAAAAACTCTTTCCTCGCTATTCAACATTGTATAGAACAGTGTTTCTCAAACTGGGGCTGCCGCTTGTTAGGGAAAGCCCCTGACGGGCCAGGCCGGTTTGTTTACCTGTCCTGTCTGCAGGTCTGACCGATCGCGGCTACCACTGGCCGCGGTTCGCTGCTCCAGGCTAATGGGGGCTGTTGGAAGCTCAGCTAGTACATCCCTCGGCCCACGCCGCTTCCAGCAGCCCCCATTGGCCTGGAGCAGCGAACCGCGGCCAGTGGGAGCCGCGATCAGCCAGACCGGCGGACGGGGCAGGTAAACAAACTGGCCTGGCCCGCCAGGGGCTTTCCCTACACAAGTGGCGGCCCCAGTTTGAGAAACACTGGTATAGAACATTAAATTTACATTTTTTCATATATTCTGCAGGGTGATAATGCAACATTTACTAGTGTTATGCTTTTTTTATGTACCTCTAATACAACTCTTAAAGACTTTAACACTGGTAAGTCAGAATGATACTGACTTGCTATAATGAAATTGAGTGTAGTCTCACTAGAAAATAGTTTATGGGGAACCCAGTTGAAATGTATAACATTGTTGGGTGATATAAATATTTTACTGTACATGAGCTTTGCAAAATTCAAATATTTTTGATGGAGTGAATAAAACTATTATTTTCTTCATTATAAGCATTGTTGTAAGGGGATGCAAGTAGACTGTATCAGCTGCTAAATTTTCTTGGCAATTTTGCAAGGCTTCTTTACACTAGTAAAGAACAGAAACAGAGATAAATAGTGTGAAAATGTCTGGGGAAACTGCAAAACTTAACAAATTACAAAAATAAATACATAAAATAGATGTATAAGTGTATTTGTTTGAAAGTTAGGAACATTTGTGTGTATGTAATTTCCTAGGTTTTTAAAAAATGCAGTTCATCTGGGAAACTATACTTAATGCCGATCATAACAGCGAGAGAAGTACAGCAAATTGGCGTTAATAATTCTGCAGTAATAGTTTGATAACAGGTTTGGTAATAGAATATGTTGAGACCTGATATTAATGATCTTAAACCTCCGCTTTGATCTTTTGTTCATGTAATAATTTCACATGTTTTTTCTTGTGATTCTAGGTGCAGCAGTAGCTGGAATTTACAGAGTAGCAGGGAAGAACATGGCTCCTTTGGAAGCACTGGTATTTGGAGTTGGACAGACAGTACTGACATTGATTATCTCATTTTCAAGAATTCTTGCTACACTTTGAGACTTCTGTGAAAATAGTCAGTTGATATAAGGAAACCTTTTGTCTGCAGAGAAGCTCCCTGAAAGTGGCTTCAGTGACTGGTGGACATGGATTAGTGCAACAGGAAGCATATGGGATCTGTACTTCAAATCTAGTTCAGTTAAGAGGGAAAGGACTGCCCTCTAGTGTCCACACTGTTGTACTACTGCTCTGCACCTTATGTGCCTCAGTCACAGGGAAGGTGCAATTAATGGATATGAAGCTGTGAGATAAAGCACCTTGAAGAGCTGCCAATCAGGTTAACACTTGATGATGAGATCATTGTTCTTAACAATGTTGAAATACAGGGACATTTCTGAAGAATCGGTAAATGTGCCAAACTTGAAGTTTAATTTTTTAACTATTGATAGTGTGAACATTTGAAGATGAGTGCTGTGAATATATTCCACATTAATTCAGGTAAACTAGTAAGGTACTTGCATTTCTTTAACTGAAACCTACTCAGTGCTGAGTGTTACCCCATTCAGCATATGAAGTAACTACTTGGTTTTTGAACTGTACATGAGTATTACTGGGATATAGGACTGCAGCAGGTCTATTCATAAAATTAATGTGGTTAGCACTATATGTAGGAGATCTTTAGTGAAGCAATTCTGTGAGGTTCACCATGTATAGAAAAGAGATTTAATGGTTTTATTTCTACATACTTAGTATTTTCTCAGTCCCAAATCATCAAGCAGACTGAGAGTAAGGCAAACTAAGTACAATCTATTATGTGAATTGAGAAATGAAATTTAAATTATTTCTTTATTCATACGTTATTTTGTTTGAAATGTAGGTATTCATTAATCCTTCTGAAAAAGGTACTTGCTGTTTATCTTCAAGGAAATAAGTTGTTTCCAGTGTGATGTCAGAGAAGTTACTTGTTGCAATTAAATCTTTTTAATGATATTTAAAAACCAGAACCAGTCTTTAATTCTGAAACATCTGATGTTTAAAACATGGCCTAATCTAGGCTCTGAAAGAGAGTAACAAAACAAGTAAAGAAACAATAAAGAAAATTGAAAGGGATTTTAAGAAATATTTTGTGTGTGGTACATGATTGTGCCGGTATTCTGCTGAACAAAAATGGTAAGTTTAATGTTAAGATCCGGACCATCAGTATCAAAACTCGGACAGTAGTGTAATGCATATACTTCCTCATTTCTGAACACATTTTATCTTTGGGATAATTAGATATGTGGAGTTTTCAGATATTTAGCTTTCAGTAGACTTGTGTTCGTTCTTCTTTAAAAGGAACAGTGGTGATGTGCATGTAAAATGCACATATAAAATGTTTCAAAGTGAATAGAAATTTTAAAATATTACAGGAGTGTAGAATTCAGAAGGGCCAAGAAGGTCTGTGTGAGGAAAGAGGGAATCATTCATATCCTGCTTCAATGGAGTACTTTACAACAGTTGAATAAATGTGTGCATAGAGAGAGACGGCTTATGCACCAAAGATGTTGCTGTCATGATGTCCAAGATTATTCCAGGCCTGCTGAAACAGTAGTACTTGCAGCACTATCAAAAGGATACCGTCACAATGGTTACTTAAAAATTACTTTGCTCACTACTTCAAAATACAATAAATTAAAATCTGATTTTACCATTATTTCGTCCATATACATTGGTTTATCAATTATTATTCATACTTGGAAGGCTGCTGATATTAATAACTTTGTTCTTCAAAAACACTTATTTTTGTTTGTGGAAAATATGGAGAGCTACATGGACTTTCCAAACATAGGAGAGAACACAAGTCAAAATATAGGTATATAAATCTTGACAGTGTTCATTTAAGTATTTTGGCTTTGAATCTGCTTTTTTAACACACACACGTGTCAATGTGTCCTTTTTGGATTATTGTGAATGTCTTCAAATACTAATTCATTTTTTCAGTTAATTTTTTTCTTCCCACCTGATACTTTGTCATAAAAAGATGATGCAGTTTAGTAGATATAGAGATTATTTTCCAGGACAACATTAAATTACTTCTCCATATTTGTAGATAATGATTTAAATTTTTGTCATTAACTTAATATATGAAAAAATAATTGATTGCAGGTTGTCAAGTCACTGACTTAAAAAAAACTTAGTATAAATAAAATAACTGAAGTTATATTCCTTTTAATTTAATGTGCCTTGGAGAGAGAGATTTTAGGGGAAGGAATTTAAATAATTTTACTGTTCTCTTACTGCTTGTTCTCATGTTGCTTTTACTAACAGATTTGGTTATCTGATGCAATGGTTTAATCAACAGAAGTATTGGGAGGAATAATGAATTCTTATGACATGACAAAATCTGGAACCACATTTTATCTGGATCTAAAAATTCCTTTCTTAAAGCATAGTCTTCAGTAACTTTAATTTCAAGACTTTTTAGCTTTCTCTAGAAAGCTGCATCTTAGACTTTAGATTTTTTTTGCACATCTAACTAACTTGCTGTTCAATTCATAACATTGTCGTCTTATGACAATTCAACATCTTCAGTCTCACTGTATTAAACCAATGACTACGAAAGAAGCCATTACTAAATTCAGAAGTTTGAATGAAAATTCAGATTTCACTGAATGGTGAACTGTGCTTTTCACCTCAATTGAGGTGCCAGTGAAGTGTTTGCTAATGTGCGCCTCCTTATGATATAGGTCAGTATTTTTCATATGAAGGAAACCTCTGCAATATTAGGACCAGCTGTTGAATGCTCTTAAACCTAATACATGCTTGAGCTAAAAAAATACATACGTTGCATACAGAATTGTCACTCTCTAAAATATGGTGTGAGTTGCTCAGTTGTCTATATGTACTGTATGGTATTAATGCTTAGCAACAGTAGGCAGTCAGACCATTCAATATAATGTCCAAGTGGCTCACCAGATGTCAATAGGACAAAACTATCTTCTCCGAGGGAGAATTCTTGTTAACTGCTTTCCTGTGTGGGGGATATATGAGGATGAATAGCTTGTCACAAAGTACAGTATTAACTTACTGCCTTTCCATATTAAAATACAGTATTTGAATGAGCAAGCAGTTACCAGTGGGGAAAACATCTTAAGTAGCCTTATGCCTTTGAAAGAAATAGATCAGTTTCAGCGCTGAAGTTTTATTCCAATGACTGCTTTGGGGGGTTGGATGGCTGTTGCACTCTTTGGCCCTTATTATAAAAAATGGCTGTAGTCAAAATGAAATGTATGCACGTAATAATTGGGAATGGTCTTTTTATAATCAGTCTTGTGAAAAATGTATTCTAGAATTTATGCACGCTAGTAATTCACCCAACCTCTCAGAGTAAATTTCTTGGGACAGTGTTATTTCTTTTATTGTAATAGTACTGTGCAGTATTTCAGGCCAAAGGCATCTTTTATATGAATGGCACTAAATGGATACCCTTGATGTTGTTGTTCGCTATTTTCACAGTAGTGTAGAAGTGCAACATATCTACACAATTCTGGTCTTTGGAAAAACGACTGAATATGGTAATTGCTGTGAAGAAACTTCAACCACTTTCTTGTAACTTTAAGATAGAAACTCTGTTGTTTTTTCAAGATTTAAATACCAGTTCTATTTGATTATTAGCTATGCATCACTATTTAAAAAAATAATAATTCTGTTTTCGGATAGCCAGAATAGCTGTATTATATGAAGAAAATATTCCAAATCTTTTTAATTTTTGGTGATAATCTTCTTATGTTTGTTGAACTGATCTCTGTGTACCATGGTTAGCCGTGTAATTCTGGGCATACTCCTCAATTGTTTCCAGCAACAAATGACAGTAGTTAAACCAGTTTTAATGTACAAACACAGGGACCAAAGAGTGATTTAAAGATACTCCTGTCTTTATCTGTAATGTTACATAGCAGTATAAATATATTTCTAATGTTCATTGAATTGTGATTGTTTTAATCTAAGGGAAATAGTGATTCTTTGTTAGTTTTGCACTTGACTATTTTTTTGTTTTAGTATAATCAGTTGATTTTTGAATTACATTTGTGTATTTTTTGTTGTATATAGTACCATCTAGTAAATAGCTTTTTCTATTATCATACCTGTTGTTTAGAAAATCTGTCCTTGTTTGTAAACTGTTCTTCTTTTTCACTTGCATGTGTATTTTTACATTTCATTCACTGAGCATATTTTAATATGCTTTTAATACATTAAAACTTAATACTGCACCATTACTATATTAGCTTTATAGCTTTGTACATGGTCATCCAAAGTAGTTCATGTATAATCCCACCCCATAGCAAGATGATCAGGAGAAAGACTTGAAGTATTGCTCTTGAGATATGGTAGCGTTCTGGGTTGTAATTAAGGATGGGTGAATCTCACCTTAGGTAAAATAAATTGACTAAATTGTACCAAAACTCAAAAAAAAATTTACTTTATTATATATATTGACCGACATCATCTGTTTTGGAATGGTAGAACAGCTGGCGGATTCTGCCAGCCCTCTTGGGACCAAGTCGAGGAGACTCCGTGGGAGCTGTCGGGTCAGGAATCCCCCCCGCACAATATATATATTGTGACAAAGTTCCTCCTCTATCTTGGTGGGTCCTGCGCTTATTGACGGATTTGCTCGCTTCACAGATTCACCCTGTGGGTCAGGAAAAGTCCAGAGACCTTCCCCTCTGGTAGAAGCTATAGTCCAGGTCAATTTCTCCTGTGTTTTATCAGGAGTTGGGAGGTATGGGGGGAACCTGGACCCACCCTCTACTCTGGGTTCCAGCCCAAGGCCCTGTGGACTGCAGCTATTTAGAGTGCCTCCTGGTACAGTTGCACGACACCTACAACTCCCTGGGCTACTTCCCCATGGCCTCCTCCCAACACCTTCTTTGTCCTCACCACTGGACCTTCCTCCTGATGTCTTCCCTGGCTCCCCGTGGCTTGACTGGAGTGAGCCCTTTTATAGCATCAGAGGGGCCTTAATTAGAGTCAGTTGCTTAACTGCCTCACCTGACTCTTAGCAGGTTAATTGGAGTCAGGTGGTCTATTAGCCTGGAGCAGCCCCTGCTCTGGTCACTCGGAACAGAAAACTACTTATCCAGTGGCCAGTATATGTCCCTTCTGCTACTCTGCTGTTCCCAACTGGTCTGGGTCTATAACATATAGATAGATAGATATAAAATACACAGTCTCTTGGGTTTTGTTCAATTGCTGTGCTTTAGAAGTGGAAATAAAGAACCTTTTATGGTATTTTTTGTCATGGGCAAAATTAGGAAGTCACTTGTTACAATGAGGCTTGCAACCTGAATTTTTCAGACCAAAGTACTTGAGATAAGCAGAAATCTCAGTATGGCTTATTCAGACTACAACCCCAGCTAATCTCTTTGGCCTTTAAAAAAATATTTAAGTGTATTTAACAGCTACAATAAAGTGATGCATCTTTAGAGTAGTTGTTTTTGTGTCTGTCATCTTCCCCCTCTTCTCTCTTCCCACCCCCTTTTTCTGCATATAATATCTTTTATCCATGAAACATGTTACTCTGTTTGCCAATCAGTTCTTTTTTAGTGAATATGTGACCTGTATTTTAAGAGCCTTAAATTCATTTGCTGAGTTGCAGTGATTTTTGGAACGTTTAAAAGCCCCTGCAATTCTTCCTTCTGTGTTTTTTTTTTTCCTCTGAGAGGACAACTTTTAGTTAATTTTTTTTAGCTATTTGATGGTCAAAGGCAGATTAGGCAGGGGACCACTTTCATATCATCTTCCCCTGGCCTCCTATGGCAGCATTTCTCAAATGCTGCCACCGTGGCTGCATGCAGCTGCTAGGGGCTTTTCTTGCAGTCACAGCCTCCTGGGCTGTGATTTGGGGGGGTGGGAGGGGAGGAGTAGCGCGCCCTCCACCTTCCCTTTCCTGTTTCTCTTAGATGCACTGCCTTGGTGTTTGGTAATAATCTCCATTATATCAACAGTTGAAAAAACTGACACAAACCCTATTCCCTTCCACATACATTTGTGAAGGTGGAAGATGCCATGCAGACAAAAATATTAGATCCTGATATAATAAGATTAAGACTTGCTCTCAATTCTTCCATGTAGCTGATGTATTGGTAGTATTTCTCCTGGGCAACCCTTTGCCTCTGAACCATTTTTTGTGTAGTCTCTTCTCTTTGTATGGACTACACTGAAGGAACTAAAAATTAGTTGTTGACACACTTGGACAGTAAGTCTTATTTCTAGCTTTCATATTCACCACCAAAAATTAACTTTTGGGGTTTCCTCACATAGCCTAATTGAACACATTTTTCCATTAGTTTAGCAGGGACATTTCAAATACTGACTTGCTAAGGAAATATTCTGCGTTGCAATTGAAAGGAATCAGTTTTATAAACCCCTCTTTACATATCTGACAACCTTTTCTTTCTACTGTAGGAGTTGGTTTTGTTGTATGTATACTTGAAACTTGAAGCTATCGTTGTAATTACATCTACTATAATATCTGTAGCTAAATCATCCGATCCATCATGTTTGAGCTTTGACCAGTCTTCTGACTTTGGGCTTGTAGATTCTAGTTTAAAATAAATACAGAAGGTAAGACAAGTGTCCCGTGAGCTGCTTGAATATTCTGTTAAATGGAACTGTACATATTTCACTGACATTCCAAAAATAAACACTATTGTGGATGGGAATTGTGAATTTAAATCCCAAAAGTGATTATTTTAAAAAATGCATCAACTCATCATCCACAATGAGCCGATCTGCTGAGTAAAATTCATTCTAATATAGTGGCCAGCATAAGGTCAATGCACTGCTGAAATCCCCGTTTATGCCCTCAAAGTAAAATTTAAGTGGGCCTTCCGTGGTACATAGGCCTTCTGCTGGCCCCTGTGGATGGGTGACTTTTACCCTGTGTATTTAAAATTGTTTAGTTTACTCGAGAGTCAAAGCTCTCGTTACCTTTTCACTCTTGTTAGAGGTAGAGACCCCATACAGCTGTGTGAAAACAAGCTAGTGTCCATTCAGTCTTGCCTGTCAACAATTTTTTTAAACTAAATTCCACTTGGTTCTGTGCATTGTAACTGCTGACCTTGTCCTGCAGAATCCTTTTGACCTACTTATGCTGGTTTATGAGCCAGAAAGTCCATGGCTTGATTCCAAATTTTATTAAAGTTGAAGCAGTTAAAGCCATCTTTATGCTTAGTTTACATGAAAGTTTAAAATGTAGTGTAATTACAGAGATGCAACATCAAACCCCACAGTGCCATTTTGCTTCAGAGTAATCTCCAACTACAGCAGATCTAAAAGTAATTGATTTTTAGAGTAGAAGCATGTGAGGATATCTACAGAAATATTCCTGTTACAAGAAGTTTTTCACCTCAAGTTTTCATCTTCAATTCCTTGATCTATTCCACGGGGAAAAAATCTATTATCAGAAGTAGGAAAATTTGTTTATATTTGAGATTAAATCACTAAAACTGCATGAATGTTAACTATTCTCTTTATCAGGAATCAAAATGAATCCTTAGCATTTGTTCTTCAACTTCTATTATGAGTTGGGGAAACTAATCTATAAGCCAAACTAAATAATTAACAGTTTTTTCACTAAATGCTGAAGATTAACTGAATAAGTAATTATTGACCTAAATAGTCATTTTGTCTTAAAGCTAGCCCCTTAGCTTGCTACTGGTAATTAGTTATCATCTCAAATAATGTGTTGTCCGTTTTCAGAGGAATGTTGGTAAGAACTTCAGAGCTGGTGTCTAAAAGAAACATTGTTAAACTCTTTGGTTAGAATGGTTGGGTTGACAAGTGTTTGTTCTTCCCATTTAAAAATGGTATAAACTGTATAAGTTGTATATATTGATATAGTAAAAATCAAACTACAAGTTAAAAAATGCTTAACCTTTCTCTTGACCTATGAAAGTACATTGATTGTGTACATTTCTGGTAATCCTTAGACAGGGATAGTCAATAGGTGAACTGTGGGCCAAATCCAGTCTGCCAGATGCTTTTGAATGGACCCCAAAATATTTTTATTTACCTATTATTATTGTTGTTTTTATTATTTTCTCTGGAGTCTGGATCTTGACTAAGAAATTTGAACTTTTAACAAAAAATAGACTACCCCTGCCTTCGAGTTCTAGTTGCCCCAATACAGACAGTCTATGAAGGCCGGAACTTTTAAATATATTTTTTTTAAATCTTCAGAATCCACTAGAGACTCTTTAAAATAACCATTAGGGCTAAGCTAGTCCCCACCATATGTGAACATCTTGAATCAGCTGAAAAAAATAACATTTATCACTTGTAATCAGATAAAAGGGAGAAGAATATATTTTCCGAGAGGATTAATAACATTAAAAATCTAGTCTTAATAGTCATTGCAGTAGCAAGCTGATAAAGATTGATTGATTGATTGGATTGACTTTATTTTGGTTTTTGTTCAAACATGATTTAAATAATACTGTTCAGTTATAGGGAGCCTAGTAGATGCAGTTTTTCCTGGCATTAGAAAAATGGAGGTGGAGAAAGTGTTATCATGTGATTTCTAGCCTATGGTATGTTCCTCTTTTAGAACTAAGGGCCAGATTCTCAGCTGACACAAACTTACACTAGCTGAAAATTTGGCTTGAGATTTATTGTAAAGCTTAAAGATAGCAAGAATAATGAGAGTTGAGAGGTAATTTCATTTAGAAATTATTCATATTACATTGTGTGAAAACAGTATTTTTAAAGTGATAGTTATATCTGTATGTACTGCATGTTATATAATAGCTTATCTCTAATTTAAGATTAAAATACTTTCATGGATGATACCTAATAAGCTGTAAATATTGTATACTTTACATTTTTTTATAAAAGCAACTTTTTTATTTCCCCATTTGTGTATAAACCTTACTATGTACCTACAATAATTTCTTGGACAATAAGTTTTGCACTTAACCTTCTGTATTTTAATTGCAGTAATGATCTTAATATAGCCATACAAATGTTTTTTCTCTGTTTCTCAGCACACTCACCTCTCATTTTTTTCAAAGGGTAGCAATAAAAGTTGGCATATTACTTTAGATTAAAGCAGAATTTTCTGCACATATTTCCACTTCATTGCTCCAGCTATAAAGCAGTGATGCACAATTAACATTGCCCTGTCTAGTCATAAGATATCAGGAGTCTTTATGCAGTTTTCATCTTTGTAACATACTAGAGGAAATCTTTGGTAATGAGCTATATACAGTAAGTT